AAGGATCACTTAAAGCCAGGAGTTTGAGACCAGCCTGGGCAACACAAGTGAGATCCTGTCTCTACAAAAAGTTAAAAATTAGCCAGGCATGGTGGCACACACCTGTAGTCCTATCTACTCAGGAGGCTAAGGTGGGAGGATGGATGGTTTGAGTCCAGGAGTTTGAGGCTCAGTGGTCTTCCAGCCTGGGCAACAGAGCAAGACCCTGTCTCTTAATAAAAGAAAAAGGCCGGACATGGTGGCTCACACCTGTAATCCCAACACTTTGGGAGGCTGAGGTGGGAGGATCACTGAGGTCAGGAGTTCGAGACCAGCCTGGCCAACATGGTGAAACCCCGTCTATACTAAAAATACAAAAATTAGTAGGCTGTGGTAGCATACACCTATAACCCCTGCTACTACGGAGGCTGAGGCAGGAGAATCTCTTAAACCTGGGGGCAGAGGTTATAGTCAGCCAAGATCATGCCACTGCACTCCAGCCTGGGCAATAGTGGGAGACTGTCTAAAAAAAAAGCTTGGGTGCAGTGGCTCACACCTGTTACCGAGCACATCAGGAATGCGAAGGTAGATCACCAGGTCTGGAGTTTGAGACCAATCTGGCCAACAAAGTGAAACCCTGTCTCTACTAAAAATACAATTAATTTGCTGGGCATGGTGGCACATGCCTGTAGTCCCAGCTACTCGGGAGGCTGAGGCAGGAGAACTGCTTGAACCCAGGAGGCTGAGGTTGTGGTGAGCCAAAATTGTGCCACTGCACTCCGGCTTGGGTGACAGAGTGAGACTTCATTTAAATTAAAAAAAGGCGGGGAGACGAACAGGCGATTTTTTGAGAGGCCGAGGCAGATGGATAACCAGGTCAGGAGTTTAAGATTAGTCTGGCCAAGATGATGAAACCCCGTCTCCACTAAATTAAAAAAATATATACAAAAAAAAAGTAACAACCATTTAATAGCCCATGTTTTTCTATCCGCTCCTTCCACTAACAAGTTTCTGCAAGTGACTTATAAGACAACTGTAGGTCTAAAACAGAAAAGACCCTGAGGCTGGGCATGGTGACTCACGCCTGTAATCCAAGCAGTTTGGAGGCCAAGGCGGGCAGATCACTGGAGGTCAGGAGTTCAAGACCAGCCTGACCAACATGGTGAAACTCCTACTTAAAAAAAAAAAGAGGCCAGGCGCGGTGGATCACGAGGTCAAGAGATCGAGACCATCCTGGTCAACATGGTGAAACCCCGTCTCTACTAAAAAATACAAAAAAAATTAGCTGGGCATAGTGGCGCGTGCCTGTAATCCCAGCTACTCAGGAGGCTGAGGCAGGAAAATTGCCTGAGCCCAGGAGGCGGAGATTGCGGTGAGCGGAGATGGCGCCATTGCACTCCAGCTTGGGTAACAAGAGCGAAACTCCGTCTCAAAAAAAAGAAAAAAAAGAAAAGACCCTGAAACACCAGCTTCTTTTGAGCAGATGCCAGTATTTTGGTTTAGTTTATAAATCATTACAAATGTCATAATCAGCTCAGGCATTTATTTGACTAAACTAACTTTTGGGTTATATTACTATGGTATTTTTATTTATCTTGATATCCTTCTAACTTTGAGAAATGAAATATATTGGGCTCAGAAGCAGATATACCATAACTTTGGCATTCCTAAAAGAACATGAATTCTAGTGGAAGACTCCCAGACTAAAGCTACACAGATCTAGGATCCAATCAAACTGAATGAAATAGTACAGAGAATGTAAATAGAGAAGAGGTACTTTTGTGTATGATTTAAGATCTGAATTTCTACTAATATGTTATGAAATAATAATTTGTTTTATCGTTTTTTTTCTTTTTTTGAGATAGAATCTCACTCTTACCCAGGCTGGAGTGCAGTGGCATGATCTCAGCTCACTGCAACCTCTGCCTCCCAGGTGCAAGGGATTCTCCTGCCTCAGCCACCCAAGTAGCTGGGAAAGGCGTACACCACCTTGCAGGGCTGATTTTTGTATTTTTAGTAGAGACAGGGTTTTGCCCTGTTGGCTAGGCTGGTCTCAAATTCCTGGCCTCAGGAGATTCACCCGCCTTGGCCTCCAAAGTGCTGGGATTATAGGCATTAGCCATCATGCCCAGCTTGTGTTATCTTTTAAGGAAGAATTTGACAATAGATTTTAGAAGCAAAGTTTTATACTGCTGGCATCATATACTGGTGTCTAGGTAATTTCTTACAGCCCTGTGTGATAGGTTTAGGAGAAAAACAAGATTACCTTAATTTGAGATAAAAAAACAGATTAAAGGAGGCTGGGCATGGTGGCTCATGCTTATAATTCCAGCATTTTGGGACTCTGAAGTGGGTGAATCACCAGAAGTTAGGAGTTCAAGACCAGCCTGGCCACATGGTGAAACCCTGTCTCTACTAAAAATACAAAAAATTAGCTGGGCATCGTGGCACCTGTAATCCCAGCAACTTGGGAGGATGAGGCTGGGGAATCGCTAGAACCCAGGTGGCAACTGCAGTGAGCAAAGACAGCTCCAACTGCACAATTCCATCTCAAAAAAAAAAAGAAATAGATTAAAGAAATTTAATAATACAGGGTCTTAGGGGTAAACTTAAAATGATGCACTTTCCTAACTGTTCCTCCTGGGAGCAATACTGAGATGTTCATAAGAATCTTGAGGGGCTGAAATGGCCAACTCACTGGTCCCAGCTAAACCCTAAAGATGGAAAAAGTTCTCTTCCAAAATTACAAGCAGGAATTTATGTAACCCTCTGACATTGATCTCTAAGTTGCTATTAAACCCACCCGGTCAAAAGGAACAAAATTATTTGGGAAACAATTGTTCAGAGAGAAATGAACAGTATTTATCAAAGTCAATGTCACAATGAGATAGTAATAAGGTTTAGTAGTGAAGGTAAAACCTTGATGAGGGAGATTAAAAAAAGAGCAGTGTTCTTGTTGGTTCATGCTTCCTTCTCACTTGAACCCTGAAACAACTAAAGGCAAACTTTCAAGGTGGTCAGGAGAAAAGAACAGAGAGTTCAGACCAGGCTCTTACTACAGTCTATGTTTTAAGTAAAAAAGTCCCTGAGGATCCCAAGAGCTCTGTGTCTAGGGTGGGTGAACAGACAATAATCTGGAATAGAAATTCTAGTAAAGAAAAATGTGCATGCACTGGGAATATTCTCAGTTCTATCTTATAGGGTCCTCCCAGGGCATTCCACAGATGTAACAGACAACGATTCAGGATCGCAGCTTCTAGAATGGACTATCGCAGATTATTTACCAGTCAGGACTGCCTAGACATGGAAACATAAATCATACTTCAACCTCACAAAACTGCAGGATACAAAACAATAAATGTCATTTTACAATTGACGTTAAGAAAAAAATCACCTAATTCCAAAGCCAAACTTAAAATATAAGTGACTGAAAAAAAATCAAGTATTTTACCAGTCACTAGAACAATGAGAAAACAATGAGATGCATAAATGGTGAATCATAAAGTGTATATCTTATCTAAATTGGTAAACTGTGATTTAGAACTTTAGGAGGAAGGCCAGGCACGGTGGCTCACGCCTATAATTCCAGCACTTTGGGAGGCTGAGATGGGTGGATCACGAGGTCAAGAGATCGAGACCATCCTGGTCAGCAAGGTGAAACCCCGTCTCTACTAAAAATACAAAAATTAGCTGGGCATGGTGGTGTGAGCCTGTAGTCCCAGCTACTTGGGAGGCTGAGGCAGGAGAATTGCTTGAACCCAGGAGGCGGAGGCTGTGGTGAGCTGAGATTGTGCCATTGCACTCCAGTCTGGGTAACAACAGCGAAACTCCGTCTCAAAAAAAAAAAAAGAAAAAAAAAACTTTAGGAGGAAAACAAAAGTGGATTGTGACAAATTTTCCAACTCTATTTTTTAAAAAACCTAATATTTTTAGTTCTGCATTCTCTCTAAAGGCAGTTAATGAATGAACAAACACCACTCAAGCTCCTGTTTCTCTTTAGAATATTCAATTTTCTATCAAAAATATCAAAAAATAAACAGTTTACACATCAAAAAATAAACAGAAGCATACTGTCTAGAGTAGATAGACATTAGACTAGTCAGAACATTTAGGGAATAGTTCTAGGTATACATTTGATAATTTACAATAAATAGATTTTACTGCATATTAAATGTTCAAGTTTCTTAATCTATAATGTAAGAAACCTATTTCAAATATGAAATAAAGTTATAAATGTTGCCTGGCAGATTTAAATAAGAAGAAAAAACTGGAAAAAAAAAGAGAACACCTCTCATATTTGAGAATAACTTATAAGATACGTGATATTGCCGGGCGTGGTGGCTCACACCTGTAATCCCAGCACTTTGGGAGGCCGAGGCGGGTGGATCACGAGGTCAAGAGATCGAGACCATCCTGGTCAACACGGTGAAACCCCGTCTCTACTAAAAATACAAAAAATTAGTTGGGCATAGTGGCGCGTGCTTGTAATCCCAGCTACTCAGGAGGCTGAGGCAGGAGAATTGCCTAAACCCAGGAGGAGGAGGTTGCGGTGAGCCGAGATCGCACCATTGCACTCCAGCCTGGGTAACAAGAGCAAAACTCCGTCTCAAAAAGACAAACAAACAAACAAACAAAAAAGATACGTGATATTGTGAAGTCCCTGCCACGGTACCTAGCACATATAAGGATACCATAAAATTGAGTATCCCTCTTTAAATGAGGTGGTAGGGTTCAGACCAATTGCAAAAGTCAGAGGTATCATTCAAAATGCAAGAAATTGGTAATAGAGATAAACAATAATAAATACAACTACACTAGAGGTATTCAAGCCAAAGCATAAGGATTCCCTGCCAGGAATGCTACAGAAATTAATTCCTGACTTGTGTATGAGTTTGGACCACCTGACCTCTAAGGTTCCCTCTAACTCCTTACACCAAGGTGATCACTACAAAAAATGATCACTGTAATTTTTCCTCTTTCCTAAAGTATATTGCTTAATGTAAACTGGTAAGTTATCTTACCTATGAGATTCTTGCTCTCCTTTCATTTTCTCTACTTTTGATAACATATCATCAACTTTAAATGTTTTCCTGGAAGAAACAGATAAACAAAATAATCACTTCTCAACTGGGAAAAAAACAAATTATATTTATTGTCACTCTAATAGGCAAGATAGAAATCAGATTTTGATTATTTTTAATAAGATAAATTATGGATGGTTAGCCATAACAATGAATACTATTGAGACAGTGTATGTTACACAGTAGATAAGTTTTCAAGCCCCATCTAAAACACTAACTTTTTTTTTAATTAAACCTTTTTCCCAATTATTCCCAGACCAGAGTGATTTCTCCTTACCCATCATACTTGGTTTATATTTATTTTGACAGTTTTCATTCAGTTTCCTGTATGTAAAACTCGTGTAAATATTTTATTTCTCCTACTAGATTATATGCTCCTCAAGGACAGTGATTGCTTTTCTTCAAGGAAAGCTGTATAGCACTGGCATAGTGCCTTATACCTACCTGGTAGGTATTCAAGCATCTGCTGAATTGAGCCAAACAAATCTAAATTATGTGTATTCTGAAACATGTAATACATCTACTAAGCAGTACAACAAATATGTACTAGCACCATCACATAAAAAAAGAAATATTCTATAAAATATATTTGAGGTTCATAGGTATTCTCAAAGATCATCAGCAAAGCCTGAAACTAAATAATGTCAAATAAGAGACAGTTATTGACATCATGAAAAAAATTTGACATTAGGAAAAAACCCATCAAATCATAATAAAATTATTAGCTTTCAACTGGACAAGATTAAGAGAAAAAAGGTTATTTCCCCAAAAATAGAAAAAGTGTAATATCTCAAAGCAATTAAATGGATTGTAAAACAAGCCTAATCTTAGCTCTTAAAGTGGTCTATGATATGTTCTATAGAGGCTAAAAATCTATACCCATATAACTGGAAAAAATGTTTTTTTATATTCATATAGTCCCTTCATATTTAGGACTTCAAAAGCCTAATGTATTCCACATCAACTTATTTTTTTTTCTTTTTGTTTGTAGGTCCTTTGTCTTGGTCTTCTCAGCATCCTCATCAACCTATTACTTTATAATGCTCGAATGCAGACACCAGAAATTATGCATAAGCTCATTCCTCAAAAAGAGTTTTTTTTTTTTTTTTGAGACCTGCTCTGTCGCCAGACTAGAGTGCAATCGCACAATCTTGGCTCACTGCAACCTCTGCCTCCCAGATTCAAGCAATTCCCCTGCCTCAGCCTCCCGAGTAGCTGGGACTACAGGTGCGTGGTACCAGGCCAGGCGAATTTTTTTGTATTTTAGTAGAGACAGGGTTTCACCATGTTGACCAGGATGGCCTGGATCTCCTGACCTTGTGATCTGCCCGCCGTGGCCTCCTGAAGTGCTCGGATCACAGGCATGAGCCACCATGCCCAGCCGAGCTTCCCCTATCCCCACCCCCGATGGAATTTCACTTTTTATTGCCCAGACTAGAGTCAATGGCGAGGATCTCCACCTCCTGGATTCAGTCAATTCTCCTGCCTCAGCCTCCCAAAGTGCTAGGATTACAGGCATGAGCCACCATGCCTGGCCAAAAAAAAAAAAAAACCTATTTATTATATTCAACCACTGTAAAAATTGTCAGTAGAGAAATGTTAATGTAAATATATAATAAAATGCTGATATTAGAGCAGAATTAATACAATCTATATTTCAAGTCATTGAGAAGAACCTCCGTAACAAAGATCTTAATGGTAAAAAAGCTTCTCTCTTTACCTTTAGAGTTACTGAAAAGTTCACTATTAAAGTTTCCTCCAATAGAGTATAGTAAGAAGTGCTTTCTGAAGGATGACAATGTATTTTCAATCTCCAGATAAGAGAAGAAAAATGAAGGACTCTTTAGTCTAGTTCCAAAGAGCTGTTCAGTATAAACACTGAAAGCTACTATTGAGGAAGGCCATGAAATTACTAGAAACTTTTAATATGTTTATATAATGATTAAGAAATTCTGTCTGCAGAAAAAGACTGTAAGTTCTAAGGTTCATCTCCTCTATCTTTATGAAGTTGTATACAGGAGAAGTGAATGGAACTGAATAACAACAACAATTTGAAACAGGTAAGATCACAAAAGCAACCCAGCCTTCCTTAATAAAACAAACCTCATAAGCAACTATACAAAAACCCCTCCTCCTCAAACATCAATTTCTGTTCTTTACAAAGGTAATGTTACTGTAGGTCAGATTTAACGAAGGAAATAATTATCAAAAAGTCATCGAAAAAGAAGATATTTAAAAATTCAAGAAATTTTAGAAGATGTTCTCTTAGGAGAGTTCAGAAACAGTTTACACAAAATCTAGCAAAATGGATTCAATACAAGATGCCCTTCTCCTAGCCTATATTTCTACTTTGTTGGGGCAATGTTAGCCTACACAAGTTGAATACTTCTATAAAGGGTAAAGCATAAGTTGACTTTAATATATATACCAGAATTAATACCACAATTGAGTATGACTTCAAAGGGAGTGATAAAAAAGTTGTAAAAGGCCGGGCACAGTGGCTCATGCCTATAATCCCAGCACTTTGGGAGGCCGAGGCAGGTGGATCACCTGAGGTCAGGAGTTCGTGACCAGTCTGACCAATATGGTGAAATGGTAAAACCCTGTCTCTATTTAAAAAAAAAAAAAAGAAAGAAAGAAAAAAGTTGTAAAAAAGGAGTCTTGAAAACACTGAGAAAAGACGACAATCACTGGACTAAATCTGCCACCTTCCAAAGTCACCAACTACTTTGAAGACAACAGCATTAATGTGAAGATATGAGTTGTGCTATAATTTCTTAATAAGCAGTTTTAATAGGCCTTATATATGAGGTCAGGCATCTAACAAGATGATTAAACTATTCCTATGCCTTTGTTTTTTTTTTTTTTGAGACATGGTCTCCCTCTACTGCCCAGGCTGGAGTGGGCCAGCACATTCATAACAACCCTCGAACTCCTGGGCTCAAGTAATCTTCCTGCCTTAGCCTCCTGAGTGTTTGGGACTACAGTCATGAGCCACCACACCCAGCTAATTTTTAAAATTTTTTGTTGAAATAGAGTCTTGTTATGTTGCCAGGGCTGGCCTGTAACTTCTGTCCTCAAGTGATCCTCCCGCCTCAGTCTTCTAACGTGCTGAAATTACAGGCAGCACACCTAGGAACCACCACACCTAGCCTATTCGTATGCATTTCTGTAAGAACTAAACTAGGTGGGATTTAAATGTTTCTTGGCTGGAAGATTGCTTAAAATGTCCCCAAAAACTTTTTTTTTAAACCTTAAGGGCAATAATTAAGAAAATCAGTTTTTACTTAACCAAGCTTTTAAAAATTATCTCACTGGGCGCAGTGGTGCATGCTTGTAGTCCCAGCTACTCAGGAGGCTGAGGCTGGAAGATCACTTGAACCCAGGAGTTCTGGGTTCTGTAGTGCACTATGCCAATAGGGTGTCCACACTAAGTTTGGCATCAATATGGTGACCTCCTGGGAGTTGGGGATCACCAGGTTGCCTAAGAAGGCGTGAAACGGCACAGGTCAGAAACAGCAGAGGACAAAACTCCCATGCTGATCAGCAGTGGGATGGCACTTGTGAATAGCCACTGCACTCTAGCCTGGGCAACACAGCAAGACCCCACCTCAAAAATGAAAATAAATAAAATTATCTCTACCCATGCAGACAACAGAAACATATCCTACAAGCTGGGCACAGTGGCTGACACCTGTAATCCCAGCACTTTGAAAGGCTAAAGCAGGAAGATCACCAGGTCAGGGGTTCGAGAACAGCCTGACCAACATGATAAAACCCCGTCTCTATTTAAAAATACAAAAATTAGCCAGGTGTGGGCACACCCCTGTAATCCCAGCTACCTAGGAGGCTGAGGCAGGAGAACTGCTTGAACCCAGGAGGCGGAGGTTGCAGTGAGCCAAGAGCACGCCATTGCACTCCAGCCTGGGCGGCAGAGCAAGACTCCATCTCAAAAAAAAAACAAACAAGGAAGAAAAACATAACCTGCAATGGGACAAATTAATAAACATGATGGGAATATGGAGCTTGGATTTTAAATGTGTACTTTTTAGCCGGGCACAGTGGCTCATGCCTATAATCCCAACACTTTGGGAGGCTGAGGTGGGCGGATCACCTGAAGTCAGGAGTTCGAGACCAGCCTAGCCAACATGGCGAAACCCTGCCTCTACTAAAAACACAAAAAATTAGCTAGGTGTGGTGGCACATGCCTGTAATCCAAGCTACTTGGGAGGCTGAGGCAGAGAATTGCTTGAACCTGGGAGGCAGAGGTGGTAGTGAGCTGAGATCGTGCCACTGCACTTCAGCCTGGGTAACAGAGCAAGACTCTGACTCAAAAAGAAGCTTTGATGCAACAAAAGTTAATCAAATTCTACTAGTTTTACAGATAAATCAAGGGTCAGGAAACTATAAACCATGGCTAAATCTGGTTTATTGCCTATTTTTGTACAGCCAGCCCCAAAGATAAGAATGGTTGTTATTTTTGTTTTTTTTTTTTAATATGGAGTCTTGCTCTTGTCACCTAAGCTGGAGTGCAATGGCAAGATTTCCACTCACTGCAACCTCCACCTCCTGGGTTCAAGCAATTCTGCCTCAGCCTCCCAAACAGCTGAGATCACAGGTGCCCTCCATCACGCCCAATTTTTGTGTTTTTAGTAGAGACAGGGTTTCACCACGTTGGCCAGGCTGGTCTTGAACACCTGAACTCAGGTGATCCACCAGCCTCAGCCTCCCCAAAGTGCTGGATTACAGGCGTGAGCCACCATGCCAGGCCAAGAATGGTTTTTTTTTTTGAGACGGAGTTTCGCACTTGTTGCCCAGGCTGGAGTGCAATGGCAAGATCTCGGCTCACCACAACCTCTGCCTCCTGGGTTCAAGCAATTCTCCTGCCTCAACCTCCCAAGTAGCTGGGACTACAGGCATGTGCCACCATGCCCAGCAAACTATTTATTTTTTAGTAGACAGGGTTCTACCGTTTTAACCAGGATAGTCTCAATCTCTTGACCTCAGGTGATCCGCCTGCCTCGGCCTCCCAAAATGCTGGGATTACAGGCATAAACCACCGCACCTGGCCAAGCATGGTTCTTATAGATAAGTATAACCAATGGATTTGATTTTAAAAAACACTAACTCTGGGCTGGGTGCGGTGGCTCAAGCCTGTAATCCCAGCACTTTGGGAGGCCGAGGCGGGTGGATCATGAGGTCAAGAGATCGAGACCATTCTGGTCAACATGGTGAAACCCCATCTCTACTAAAAATACAAAAAATTAACAGGGCATGGTGGCCCGTGCCTGTAATCCCAGCTACTCACGAGGCTGAGGCAGGAGAATTGCCTGAACCCAGGAGGCGGAGGTTGCGGTGAGCCGAGATGGGGCCATTGCACTCCAGCCTGGGTAACAAGAGCGAAACTGCATCTCAAAAAAACAAAACAAAACAAAAAAACACTAACTCTGAACCCCAGTTAAGCAAAGTGTTATCTCCCCTACCCCTACAAAAATAAAATTATACATTTCTCATTAGTAGGCATGTATTACAAAATGTTCTATCTTATATTTTAACAATAAAAAAATTATATATTGACATTTTGGGCTGAAATTTAAAAATTGTGGATTTTTTCTTTCTTTTTATATTAAGTACATATATGATATCCTCTATTTTGCATCCTGGCTGCAAAGCCTAAAATATTTACTATTTACTGGTCTTTTACAGAAAAAGCATACTGAATGATGGTGAAGATTAAATAATGGAAGACAGGTTAAAGAGTGGACAAAACTAATTCTGTAATCTAATTCATAACCTCCTTTTGGTTACTTAGGTGCTTAGCAATTTTCACCTATTAACTGCAATGTAAACTTGCTCATGTGCTCAAAGATTGCCAAAAGACAAATAGTTTTAAAACTTAAACCCTTCCAAATATAAGTAGATATATTTACAACACTTGACTACAACTTCCTATAGAAATGTGATACCTACTTAATAAACAGCAGCAGTCAGCAAACAGCTTAGTTTCAAACTCTATTAACTTGATGGTTTTACTAAATCAAGACTACAATAACAATACCAAATGTTTAATAGAACTCTTGCCTTTAAATGTTAACTTGTTCATTGTTCACTTGATTCGCTCAAATAAATATAATCTTTTTTTTTTTTTTTTTTGGAAGCCCAATTTTTGCTCCTGTTGCCTAGGCTAGAGTGCATTGGCGTGATCTTGGCTTACAGCAACCTCCGTCTCCTGGGTTCAAGCAATTCTCCTGCCTCAGCCTCTGGAGGATTACAGATTGAGATTACAAGTATGCCCCACCACGCCTGGCTAATTTTGTATTTTTAGTAGAGACAGGGTTTCTCCATGTTGGTCAGGCTGGTCTCAAACTCCTGACTTCAAGCCCAGCCTTGGTAATGGTCTTACAGAAGGGGAAACACTTTTGAAATCAATAGCATGGCCTGGCACGGTGGCTCATGCCTGTAATCCCAGCACTTTGGGAGGCTGACACAAGGTCAGGAATTCCAGACCAGCCTGGCCAATATAGTAAAACCCCATCTCTACTAAAAATACAAAAATTAGCCGGTGTGGTGGCGTTTGCCTGTAGTCCCAACTACTCAGGAGGCTGAGGCAGGAGAATAACTTGAACCTGGGAAGCAGAGGTTACAGTGAGCCAAGATTGCCCCACTGACTCCAGCCTGGGCAAGAGAGCAAGACTCCATCTCAAAAATAAAAAATAAAAACTAATCAATAGGATGAAGGCTTTAAAAAAATAAAGTCTTCTTTTTTTTTTTTTTAATAAAGATGGGGTTTCACCATGATGGCCAGGCTGGTCTTGAACTCCTGACCTCGGGTGATCCACCCACCTCGGCCTCCCAAAGTGCTAGGATTACAGGGGTTAGCCACCGCGCCCGGCTCTAATCATCACATTGTCAAGTGGAGTCTGGAGGTTGGAGACAGTTTATTTTTGCTATGTAATGTTTAGTACTTAACCATATGTAATGATCAATGCAAGTTTTTGTCCTAGGTGCAAGATTATATTTATTTAGGCCCAGCACAGTGGTTCACACCTGTAATCCCAGCACTTTGGGAGGCTGAGATGGTTGGATCACCTGAGGTCAGGAGTTTATCAGCCTGGCCAACATGGTGAAACCCCATCTCTATGAAAAATACAAAAAGTTAGCTGGGCTTGGTGGCAAGCACCTGTAATCCCAGCTACTGAGGAGGCTGAGACAGGATAATAGCTTGACCCCGGGGAGGCAGAGGTTGCAGTGAGCCAAGATTGCACTGTTGCACTCCAGCCTGGGCAACAAGAGCAACACTCTGTCTCAAAAAAAGAAAAAAAAAAAAAAAAAACCATCACCAAAGATATAAAATGAGACTTTCTGAACCTATCATTATAGGAGCTAATTCAAGTTAGACGCAATATTCAAAAAATAACTTAAATTTTATGTAACAAAGATAGCTACCCTGAGCTCTTTAGTAAATATTTAAATCCTCAACTTCTATCAGACTTGAAAATAACCAGTGGAGCCTGGATGTGGCGGCTCACACCTGTAATCCCAGCATTTTGGGAGGCCGAAGTGGGCAGATCACCAGGTCAGAAGTTCAAGACCAACCTGGCCAGTATAACAAAACCCCATCTCTACTAAAAATTATAAAAAAAATTAGTCAGGCATGTTGGCGGGTACCTGCAATTCTAGCTACTCAGGAGGCTGAGGCAGAAGAATCACTTGAACTCGGGAGGCAAATGTTGCAATGAGCCAAGATTCTGCCATTGCACTCCAGCCTGGGCAAACAAGAGTGAAACTGCATCTCAAAAAAAAAAAAAGAAAAGAAAAAGAAAAAATAACCAGTGGCACAGAGTAAAAACATAATCAGTAAAATCACTTAATTCACTTCACTCCTCTGCCTCCCGGGTTCAAGCAATTCTTCTGCCTCAGCCTCCCAAGTAACTGGGATTATAGGCGCACGACACCACGCAGCTAATTTTTGTATTTTGGTATAGACAGGGTTTCCCATGCTGGTCAGGCCAGGCTGGTCTGGAACTTCTGACCTCAAGTAATCCGCCTGCCTTGGCCTCCAAAAGTGCCAGGATTATAGGTATGAGGCACCACACCCAGCCTCTTTTTCTATCAGGGAAAAAAAACAACTAATAACCTGAGATTTACAAAGATGATACTATTAAAAACCACTGTGCAACCAGTTCAACCAGTCACTCCCCCGTTTCTTTTTTTTTTTTTTAATTAATTTATTTTTTTTTAAAGACGGGGTTTCACCATGTTGGTCAGGCTGGTCTTGAACTCCCGACCTCAGGTGATCCACCCGCCTTGGTCTCCAAAGTGCTTGGATTATAGGCGTGAGCCACTATGCCTGGCCTCCCATTTCAGTTTTCATATTAAATCTTTAGTTAGAAACAGTTTATTTTCATTTTTCTTTAATTTTGAGAAATAGTACTTTAAAATAAAACTTTAACATAGTTTGATCAGCTTGAAATAAGATTCATAAAATGTACCTTTTGATGTTTGTTCTGGAGTTTCGATGAGACATGTAAGTAAGAGTTCTGTGCAAAAATATTGGCTACAAAAAGAGTTTTAAAAATGTTAAAATTGAATACAGACGCAGTTATGAGAGAAATAATAATGATAAATTTTGTTGACTACTTACCGCTATGAGATTCCGAGTTCGAAGAAATCTATAGATCTGTGTTGGCTCTAGATAATAGAAAACAAAATGCAAACATTATCTAAACTTACTTGTCAAAAAAATATCAACCCAGACCATGTTGTATCAATATAAACTTATCACCTGCTATGGAAATCATGCACTGAATATTTAATATTGCACTAAATATTTACATCAAGAAAATTAGTATGCACAGTAAGATGAAAAGGCATTCAATCAGTGGCATACATTCACAATGTCACTACACTTATTTTATACTGAAGGTTCTCTACAATATTTTTCTTAAACTTTTTTAAGACAGTTATTGGACAGAACTGAAGAGAAGTAGTTATACTCATTTAACAGCTAATTTAAACTATCTATAACCAATTTTCTTCCAAAAAGTAACTGCATTAGTTAGCTGGAGTCAACAAAAGAACTATTCATTGATGCCAAACAAGATGAAGATTTCATTTTTTTTTTTTTTTTTTTTTTTTTGACAGTTTCCCTCTTCTTGCCCAGTCTGGAGTGCGTGGTGCAATCTCCCCTCATGGCAACCTCTGCCTCCCAGGTTCAAGTGATTCTCCTGCCTCAGTCTCCCGAGTAGCTGGGATTACAGGCATGTGTCACCACACCCAGCTAATTTTGTATTTTTAGTAGAGATGGGGTTTCTCCCTGTTGGCCAGGTTGGTCTTGAACTCCTGATCTCAGGTAATCTGCCCACCTCGACCTCCCAAAGTGCTAGGATTACAGGCCTGAGCCATGGCACCCAGCCTGAACATTTCAATTTTTTTTTTTTTTTTTTAACATTTCACTTTTTAATTGGTCACATAAAACTTGCAGTCGGCCAAAACAGAATCCTAATACAGGAACGATGATATCCTAATACAGACCCCAGACATTCCTAATACAAATATGATCAAAGTCAGTCAAGTATTTTTATTTCTTTTTTTGGAAAGAGGTCTTGCTATGTTGCCCGGGCTGGTCTCAAACTCCTGGGCTCAATCGATGCTCCAGCCTCAGCCTCTAGAGTAGCTGGGATTACAGTTGGGACCTACTGCATTCAAAAGTCAGTCAATATTGAAATAAATCTGGGACACAAACTGCAGCAAAAATTCTCAATAAATATTCCTAATTATAAAGTTTTATCTATTTTGTTCAATGTAAATATTACCTGAATACATTTTTTACACAACTGACAGACTCCTAAAATAGGCTAAGGCTTAAAATGAGTTGAATAAAGTTTCAAATTAGTTAAAATTTAATTTGTTATACAGGACTTAAAAGAAATATACATATATACACCATCATATCAGTTACACTGATGACCTATTAGTATCATGTTTCTTTAAATAAAGCAGTATCAAAATAAGCCAAATATGAATAATTATATAAATAATTACATTAAAGTATTTAAACTTCAATTTGTTTTATGATCAGATCTAGCTCTTAATGACAGTTGACTTCTCCGAGGTGGACTCATCAGAACGAAAATAGTTAAAACTTTCTTGGAGTATATGTCTTCTCCTAACATTCAGAAAGAACTTTTAAAATTTCCATCTAAATCTTCAACTGGTTAGTTTCATTTTAAATTAACTAAAGGGAGATGAGATACTTTAGAAGGGGTACAAACAAGTATGATTACTGTCACCACTGCCTGTCAGTTCTCCATCCTATTTCCAATTAAAGCCTCTCCAGATATTTCAAAGTGTATTAAGCAATATAATATGTGAATAATGTGAATCTCTCTGAAGCAGGTTCGATATTCGTTTCGATAAAAACTGAAATTCTTTCTATTAAGTTCCAATTAGAATTTCATGAAGCACTAATGAGAGAGAATGAAGGAAGGTTATTAAACAATGTAATACGTCTTCCCAAGCACAGCTGATACCATGCCCTTAACATATGCCACAGTGAAATTGTAAATAAGAACATTGGGCGGTAGAGCCGAGTTTATTCAAGTTTCAGTAAGATTATTTAGCAAGATCACTCAAATTATAACGCACAAAAGCAAAAACGGAAACCAATCAAAATATAACATTCCTTAAAGAACAATCAGGATTATTTATAGTTACGATGTTTTCTATAAATTCTATTGTTTGTTTCCAGACACCTTGCTCTCCTTTCCAAATAAGTCAGTTTCACCCTCCAGACAGACCTTAGAAACAGAAATCGACATAAGAAAATGTCCTGTAAGCCGAGTATAAAAAGCAAAATTCCGGGGTTGTCTCCAGAGAAGATGCTTGACCACTCTCTGGCTCAGTTTACATTATCCACAAAATGGGTGGATAGATTTGAAAGGTTTTAGACTTCCAAAGGTGCCATGTGAACCTGCAGCACCAAGTTAGCGCGAAGGCATTTCAGACTAAGGATCATTTCTTCGGTTGGACTGCACTCGTCCCTTCACAGGCTTCATTTTGCCACTCAAAAGCTACAGCCGAAACCCCCGTATTTCTAGAGTCCGAAAGGCATGAAAGAAAACAAGAACTAGTCTCGGGATGTGACTGCAGCTCAGTTCAGCTGTTACCTCCTCATCTAAAAGCCGCCTGCTCTTAACACGGGGCCCCAGTCCCGAGACTCTTGCGTCAATCTTGGGGGAGTCAAGAACCTACCCGGACCCTCTTTTCCAGCTCTCCCAAGGCCCTAGACTCTGGATGCCCTGGAGGCGTATTCCCCGAAAGGGGGACATCCCCTCAATTCCCCCCTCCACTCCCACACCAAGTGGACTCCCGAGGAGGTAGGGGGCCCAGCAGAGTGTCCCGTCCCCGGTGCTGGCAGAGTGGGTCCTCCTGCCCTCAAAGCCTCGCACACACTCACTCTCAAAGGCCTGGAGGAAAAGCTCGTGGTCAGCCTGGACGTGCTCCATTTTCGGCTTCTTCACCGGTAACACCGCGGCCCCCGCCGCTGCCGCCGCGGAGGAGGAGGAGGAGGCCGAATAACTGCCGCCGCCTCCACAGCCCCCGCCGCCGGATTTGCCGCCCGAAGCCGTCGCCGCCGCCGCCACCGCCGCCGAACCCCCGAAGCCGCCTCCCCCGGACCCCGCGCTGGGCCCCGAGCCGCCCCCTCCCCCACCGCCGTGCTTCTGAGGCGCCATCGCGGTTCCTGCCTCCTCCCCCCGCCAGCTACCCGCCGGGCGGCCCCGGAGAGTAAGCGCCTGCAATACCAACCGCTCGCCCCAGCAGGCTCCGGCGGACCGAGGGGGGAAGGAGGAGAGAGGGGAGGAGAGGGGAAGGGAAGGGAGGAGGAGAGGAGGGAAGGAGGGAGGAAAAAAAAAAAAAAGTGTCTCCTCAGAGCCCCGCTCCGCTCGGGAGGCCGCTCACCCTACCCTGGCCTCGCTCCGCCCACTTCCCCCGCCCGGCGCTCTGATTGGGCAGCGGGAGCGCGCGCCGCCCGGCCGCCCAGCCTGTTGGCCCGCGGATTCCCCCGTCAGTCACGCGGAGGCGCTTTTCGCGGAGGCGCGGCTTGGTTGGCCCGTGCGCGCCGCCGACCGCGGGCCCGGCCGCCTCTTTGAACTGAATTCGCGGGAAAATTAGGGGTCGGAGCGGCCTTCCTGCTGGCCCCGGTGCATTGTGGGGAGAGAGGGACCCAGCGAGCGGTTTAAGGAGCCGTTTCTCGCCTTCTGAGCGTCGTCAGTCACCGCCCCCAGAGGGTTAGAGGACCCCTGGAGAGAGGCAGGCCTGCGAGGAACTGGGAGCGAGGAGCCTGTTCAATGAACTGATATATTTTACAGATCATCGAATCTCTAACTTCCCAGGACTGGGCCTGCCTAGGGGGTTGGTGTGACCCTAGTCAGGGTCACTTCTCAGTTGAGGGGCTCCCGGGGCGGTGATCGCGTCCCCTGACCCCTCGCGACACCACATGCCCCAAGCCATCCATGGCCGAATCCCGCCTGGCACAGCCAAGGGGTTGCGGCTGCTGCTGTCGGAGGTGACTGCGCTTCACCAAAGGAAGCGACTTACATCGTTGTAGGGATGCCCTATAGAAACAAGCAAAACCATTTTCTGTAGATGCCATGAGGCTTCAGGATCGCTACCGAGATCCTGACGGGTAGATCTCGTGATGGGAGCAAAGTCTACATCCTTAGGATTTTGGCCCCAGACACTGGAAGAGTGGTCAGAGCGGTAAACTGATTTCTCAGAAGTAGGTACATGCACTCTTACCTTCTTGAGGATCTATAGATTTTCGTCTCAGAAAGCTGAGGGGGGATCCGGTATTTTGCGGGTCTTGCTTTTTTTTTGAGACGTACTCTAACTCTGTCTCTAGGCTGGAGTGCTGTGACGGGATCCCGGCTCACTGCAACCTCTGCCTCTGGAGGTCAAGCGATTCTCCTGCCTCAGCCTCCCTAGTAGCTGTGTCTACAGGTGTGCGCCACCACACCCAGCTAATATTTGTATTTTTATTTATTTATTTATTTATTTGAGACAGAGTCTCACTCTGTCACCAGGCGCCAAGCTGGAGTGCAGTGACACAATCTCGACTCACTGCAACCTCTGCCTCCCAGGTTCAAGCAATTCTCCTGCCTCAGCCTCCCAAGTAGCTGGGACTACAGGCGCATGCCATCACGCCCAGCTAATTTTTGTATTTTTAGTAGACATGGGTTTCACCATGTTGGCCAGGATGGTCTTGATCTCTCGACCTCGTGACCCGCCTGCCTTGGCCTCCCAAAGTGCTGGGATTACAGGCTTGAGCCACCGCGCCCGGCCAATATTTGTATTTTTATAGAGGCAGTGTTTCACCATGTTAGCCAGGCTAGTCTTGAACTCCTGACCTCAAGTGATCCGCCCACCTTGGCCTCCCAAAGCACTGGGATTACAGCGGTGAGCCACTGCGCCCGGCTGAAGAAACCTCATTTTCTTTTTCTTTTTCTTTTTTTTTTTTTAAGACGGAGTCTTGCTCTGTCACCCAGGTTGGAGTGCAATGGCTAGATCTCGGCTCATTGCAACGTCTGCCTCCCAGGTTCAAATGATTCTCCTGCCTCAGCCTCCCGAGTAGCTGGGATTACAGGCCCGCACCACCATGCCCAGCTAATTTTTGTATTTTTAGTAGAGACACGGTTTCACCATGTTGGCCAGGATGGTCTCGATCTCTTGACCTCATGACCCACCTGCCTCTGGCTCCCAAAGTGCTGGGATTACAAGGCGTGAGCCACTGCCACCAGTGGGTCTTGCTTTAAATGATAGACGCCCAGGCCCGGTTCAGTTTTTTGGCACAGTTTGGTTTGGAATTGAGCTAATATTCTTAAAGATTTGAATTTCAGGTTGGACAAGATGATCTCTAAGGATGTTCTTGCAATTTACATCCTATAAAACTTCAAAAATTCCAATCTGCAAACACAGAACCATTTCATACTCTCAACAGCATTTTTCAGATGTCTACTTAGGTTGTCTATAGTTCACTGCAAAACACTGTTTACAAAACAAGTGTCTTTCAAATGGTTATTCAAGTTGTTTACAAAACTGGTTATCTTTGTAATGATTAAATGTCAAAGTACCGGTTTTATCAAAGCCTTTGCTACTGAAGAAAGTGACCTCTACAAATGATGTATATAGTATTTGGGATTTCAGGAACACGTCTGAAATTAGGTATACCTTCTTACCTGAAACTGGGAATGTCCGTTTCCCAGTTTCAGGTAAGAAATGGGTAAGGACAAGCTATATTTTATATACAGATAAAAAGTTCAGAACATCCTCTTGTTTATTACACTATTCTCTGTACTCCTTTTCTTTTTTTGAGACAGTCTTGCTCTGTCGCCCAGGCTGGAGTGCAAAGGCGTGATCTCTGCTTACTGCAACCTCTGCCTCCCAGGTTCAAGTGACTGTTGGGCCTCAGCCTCCCAAGTGGCTGTGATTACAGGTGCCTGCCATCATGCCCAGCTAATTTGTGCATTTTTGTAGAGATGGGGTTTCACCATGTTGGGCAGGCTAGTCTTGAACTCCTGACCTCAACTGATCAGCCTGCGTTGGCCTCCCAAAGTTCTGGGATTACAGGCGTGAACCACCGTGCCTGGCCTGTACTCCATGTTTTTATATCTCTGCCACCAAAAAAGAGGTGTTTTAGACTTCTGAGACCAGCCTTCTCTAATTAACTCCACTCCATCAAGGCTCTTAGATTTTTAGATCTTGCTAAACTGCTCTTCAGCTTTACAAGGTTAGAAAATGAGGTTTCGGCCAGATGCAGTGGCTCACGCATGTAATCCTAGCACTTTGGGAGACCAAAGCAGGAGGATCAGGAGGTCAAGAGATTGAGACCATCCTGGCTAATGCAGTGAAACCGCATCCCTACTAAAAATACAAAAAGTTAGCCAGGCATGGTAGTACACACCTGTAGTCCCAGCTACTCAGGAGGCTGAGGCAGGAGAATCATTTCAACCTGGGAGGCAGAGGTTGCAATGAGCCATCTTAAAAAAAAAAAAAAGAAAGAAAAGAAAAAAACAGGGGTGGGGAAACAAAAAAAAAAAAAAAAAGAAATGAGGTTTATTCGGCTGGGCACGGTGGCTCATCCCTGTAACCCCAGCACTTTGGGAGGCCAAGGTGGGCTGATCACCTGAGGTCAGGAGTTCAAGACCAACCTGTCTACCATGGTGAAACCCCGCCTCTACTAAAAATACAAAAATTAGCTGGGCGTGGTGGCACACGCCTATAATCTCAGCACTTTGGGAGGCTGAGGTGGGTGGATCATGAGGTCAGGAGTTTGAGACCAGCCTAACAAACATGGTAAAACCCCATCTCTACTAAAAATACAAAAAAATTCAGCCAGGTATGGTGGTGCATGCCTATAATCCCAGCTACTCAGGAGACTGAGGCAGGAGAATCGCTTGAACCCAGGAGGGAGAGGTCGTGCCACTGCACTCCAGCCTGGACGACAGAGTGAGACTCCCTCCCCACCAAAAACAAAAAAAACAAAGAAAATGAGGTTTTTTCAATCTAGTCCAGGAGGTCTAGAGAATTAAATCACACTAAGCCAATCACAAAATACCAAAACTATAAACTATAATGCTAACTTATTAATTTATAGTAAGGATAACTGGCAAAATGACCAGTCTTCATCATTTGTACAAGAATCTCCCATTCTGGGGGGAAGTGGGGATAAAAGAATGGGTACAATCTAAGAAAAAATCAAGTGATATATTACCCATATGTCTTTGATGCACAGAGAGAAATGGAACTGATGAAACTGGAATGTCCTTTCTTAAAGGTTTATTTCCTTTAAGAACACCATGGTAGCATTCTCAACTTGGGCATGTACATGGTTTTATTTACAGGAGCCAACCAGCAGTGGTCATAACAATCAAAGCCAGCCATGCTATACAGTAGAGGAGAGGCATAGTAATAAATTCTCACTTTTCAATTTTCCTTTGTCAAGACTGTATGTAGAAAACTTAAATAAAAAAGAAAGAAAGAAAAAAAAAAAACTTAGCTGACCAGCAGCCCTTAGGGCTGCTCTGCCTATGGAATAGCCATTCTTTTGTTTCTTTATTTCTCTAATACTTTTAAAAAAATCTTAATGCCTCAGACAAATTGGAATTGAGAGGTTATCTTAGTTACAGTCTTTTAAATCAGATAGGTAAAACATTTACAGATCATCTCATGATTGGTCTCATCTATGACTAGCTTATTTTGTATCGTTATTTCTAAATTTTGAGATTTGTGATCCACCCTTCCTGGCCTCCCAAAGTGCTGGGATTACAGGTGTGAACCACTGCACCTGACCTTATCCAATAAGTCTCAATGAATAAGGTTGGACACCAGTGCACAGTTCATTCTCAATGACTTGTATTTATTTATTTATTAGATGGAGTTTTGTTCTTGTTGCCCAGGATGGAGTATAATGGTGTGATCTTGGCTTACCGCAACCTCCAGGTTCTAGTGATTTTCCTGCCTTAGCCTCCCAAGTAGCTGGGATTACAAGTACCCTCCACAACGCCCAGCTAATTTTTGTGTTTTTGGTAGAGATGGTATTTCTCCATGTTGGTAAGGCTGGTCTTGAACTCTCGAACTCAGGTGATTTGCCTGCCTCAGCCTCCCAAAGTGCTGGGATTACAGCCGTGAGCCACCGTTCCCAGCACTTGTGTATATTTAATTCCCCTACCTCACGCTGAATTTGAATTGTTTTCTAGGGGTTTTGTTTGTTTTTACCTTCATATTATATCTAGACTTGAACTGTAAACTCCTAAAAGCAAAGTCCATTGTCTACTACTTTTATATTTCCTAGCACAGGACTAGATATATATGTAAGGAAAGAAAAATAGCAATTGTTTTAACACTAATTAATATGACTTTGCTGGCATTATCTCAGTTTTTCTTTTTCTTTTTTTTTTTTAATTTAGAGACAGGGTTTCACCATGT